TGGGGGTGGCTGCCCTTCGGGTTGTTGATCTTCAACAGTTGCCACCTGCCGGCTGGTGGAAGCCGGCTGGGGGGCTTTGCGCTTGTTGTCGTTCGGCTGCTGGCGCCGACTATTGTCTCCAGCCGGTGTTTGAGGAGCCGGGGGCAGCACCTTTCCAGAAGTATCCACCCGGAGCTCCGACTTTTGGAGGAGTCGGCCGTGGCGTATTTATCTGCTATGATCAGCAGCTCGTCGAGGGTCGCCGGCTTGTCGCAGAGAAGTCGGTGCTTGAGTAAGGTGCCTTCTCGGCACCCAGCGGTGAAGTACTCAATAGCTTGGACCTCATGCACTCCCTCGCAGGAGTTGTGCAGTTCTGCCCACCGCATCAGGTAGTCGCGGGTGGACTCATTGGGGCCTTGGACACACGGGGAGAGTTGGCGAGGCTTGGGAGGCCGCTTGTAGGTGCTGGTGAAGTTCCGGATAAACACCTCGGTGAAGTCCACCCAACTGTTGACGTTGTAGGGCTTGAGGCTGTTCAGCCATGTCCGGGCCGTGCCCTGGAGCATGAGCTGGACGTACTTCACGGCAACACGCTTGTTGTCATTTGCTATGCTAACTGCCGTGGAATAATCCACCAGCCAATCCTCCGGCTTCATGAAGCCGTTGTACTTGGGCGTGTCCCTTGGGAGTGATAACCCCTTGGGAAAAGGCTCGTCACGGATGTGGGGGCCAAAACAAGACGGACCCATCACGTCTTCTTATTCTAGCGCTAAGGACTGAGCCAGCCGGTCGATTCGGTGGCGGGCATCGTTCTCACCGACTCCTTCTTGGCGGCCTAACCGGTCGCCAAGAGTCGGATGATCAATAGGCAGCAGGGAGGCACGCCTCTTCCTTCGAGGAGGAGGCGGTAACGGATCATCGTCCCATCGTTCGACCGCTCGAGGGCGGCCGTCTTGGTCGCGCTTGATGGTGATGCGAGTCCGGCTGCGACTGGCAGCCGGCTCCTTGTCTCATCTGTCGCAGGCGCCGCCAGTCGGCATCCGGGAGGTCGCGCCATGCTCTTGGCGAGGGGGTGGGTTTTCAACACGTTGGTGAAGCTCTTCAGCGCGACAGCCAGCTTCTTGTTGGGCAGCAGCCGCATCAATAAGTTGTTGAACGCGCTCTGTCATATAGCGATGCTCGTCGCCCTCCAGGTGGTCCAGCTCATCTGTTGCCGCCTGGTCAGCACGTATGTTCTTCATGGGCGTGGCGTACACTGGGTGGTCCACTCCAAACATGCTGGCGACGGCTCCTCCTCACTGCTTGACCGTGCCAACTCGGCTAGGCCCAGCAGCAGTCGGAGTGCCATCGACAGCGCATTCCACTTCGCGCTGGAAGGCTTCGAAAAGGCGGTGCATGGTAGCCAATTTCTTCGCGTTCTCCACAAGCGAGACACGGCAGGCTTCCAGCGTCTCGGCGTCCGCGTCTGCGGCAATGGGTGTGGACAGATCCCCGCATTGCCGCCTGCAATGGGTCCTGACCGGCTCCTCCGGAGCCCCCAGTGTGGCTGATGACAAGCACCTCCGTGACGGTGCTGCCACCGCTCTCCGCGCGCGGAAGCGGATCATCGATGACCACCACATTGGTGGGAAAGGCGTCGAGGGAAGCCGCATCGGAATCGACAAGCATCGGATTGGTGGAGCCAATCGACTCCAGGTCGAAAGCCGGCTCGTTGGCGATGTGGAGCTAGTCGAGGAGGTTGACGAGGTGGCTCTCGAGGCCATCAGTGTCTGCGTCGGACACAGGCTCGTCGGAAAGGCGGACCTCGCCAATAAGGTCGGCGAGGCAGCTTGCAGCGCATGCAACCTCCACGCCGTGCAGCGCGTCGGGGCAAACGCCGTCTGGCGTGCCAGGCTGGCTACGCTCGCTGGAGAGGAAAAGGGTTCTCGTCCAGAATAGATCTCCGGACAACGGTGCACCTAGCCCTATGGTGGGCGCCAAATGTCGGGGGTGTCGTGCGACATATGCCAAAGGATGGCTTATCATGGAGGGGGCTAATAAGACGTTGCCGGTGCCAGGAAATGGGATGAGGCGAAGACATGCACGCCGGCGAATCTTACCCAGGTTCGGGGCTCTCCTAGGAGATAACACCCCTAGTCCTGCTCTGCGGGGTCTCCGCATGATCACTAGCTCAACAAGAGTGGCTTGAGCTGTTTCTCTAGAGGAGGAAGAAGAACAAGGCTAGCCCTAACTCCCTTTCTATGTGTGTGTTTCTCTAAGAATCTGAACCCTTTGCATGGGTGCCCTGGTGGGTTTATATAGGCCTGCCCCCAGGGGTACAATGGTGATCTGGCCGGGTGTGGGCCCAGGCCGTCAGTGTCTCTTATGGCCGGCTTCTCCGCTGGTAACTGGGGCCCGCCGGCTGTCTTGTACTTGGCCGACAGGCCGCGCCCGCCGCTTGCGGGCCTTGCTGATGGCTTATCACTATAGCTGTGCTTCTAATGACGCTTGCTTGGTCGGGGAGGGGGCGTGGCTACAGTCCCGCCGCCCGGCGGCCGTTCACTATAGCCACTCCCCGTTTCTCCCGGCTGATGGTGCACAATCTCTTAGGAAGGGGAGGGCCGCCTGCTGGAAGCTGGCCTCTCCCTTGCCGGCTAGCTGAGCTTGCCGCCTTCTGGCTTTCCATGGGCTGGTAGGACCCGCTGCTTGTGGGTCGTACCGACAGCCTGTTATGGGAACTGGGTCCCTCTTGTCTTGGGTGATGTCATGGGCGGAGGGGCTACGGTGTCGCGCCGTGCGGGTGATCGCCAGCCGGTACGGCGCACTGTAGCCATGACTCGCCCTGGATTCGAGGGTGTCATGCTTCTCTGTAGCCACGCGTCATCTAATCACATTCATGGTGGCTCAGACTTTGAGGGCGATTGGGGGCCGCCTGCTAGAAGTCGGCCCCTCTGGGAGACGCCTGCTAGGTGCCGGCCCCCCTCGCAGCCGGCCACAAGAAGGCGACGGTCACTCTCTGATGCCTGAGGGGTGCAGTCGGCCCCGATGTCTTGAAATGCCATGGGGGGCAGATGAGGCTACCCATGGCCAATAACTCCGATAGTCTATGTATAGAGCGTTAATCCAGTCTGATGTGCCAGTTGATAATAATAAGAAGATATGAAAGATGAAGATACCTCTTAAGAATAAAATGTTTGCATGGTATCTTCGTCGCTGAGTCATTCTTACTAAAGATAATAACCTTATTAAGAGGAATTGGCATGGAAGTCCGCAATGTGTCTTTTGTCACAATGATGAGACAATAAAACATTTATTCTTCCAATGCAAATTGACTCGTTCTATATGGCCAGCCATCCAAATAGATTCTGGCTTGTATTCTCCTTGTAGTGTTGCTAATGTATTTGGCAATTGGTTACATGTGATTGATCACATGTTTAGAACTTTTCTCAAGGTGGGAGGGCTTACCGTTATTTGGTCGCTTTGGCTATGTAGAAATGATAAGGTTTTTAACGATAAAAGTACTTCTCTGATGCAGGTTATCTACAGATGTACCGGGAATCTTCGTTTATGGTCCTCTCTACAACGTGTGGAGAATCGAGACCTGTTTACGAAGGTGTGTACACGATTGGAGGCTACGACGAGGGATACTTTTACCCAACATGGGTGGCAACATGATCTTAGGATTGGCCCCCTCCGCTTTAGGCGTTATATGGACTGTGAATGTTTTTGTATTTCACTTTTTTGTTTTTTATTTTGTGTGAGAAGACCTTATTTGGCTGTGTGCGTCTTATTTATGCAGAGGTCGGGTGTAATGCTTAAATCTTTTATGTAATAAAACGTTCTTTTTCGAAAAAATCCAACTGCGGTACTTTTGTTTATGTGCTGATGTAGGATGATGTCATGTTAAATGTGAGATATTATCTCACGTCTAGATGTGATATACTCCATCCTTTTTGGTTTATAGGGCTTATCTTAAAATTTTAGTTTTTTCATTTTATAAGACTTAATTTGGTTGTTCTCTATCACATTTTCAGATTTCAAGATGCATTAAATCATTGCATGCAAGTATTAAGAGGAAATTGACCTATTGCATGCAAGTATAAAGTGCATTGGTAAACATTTTTTTTAAACAAGAGCATTAGTTGAGTATTTTTCTAAATTATAAAAAGTATTCCACCACTCATCATCTATCTTGGTTGGTGAGATTTTTGAATTGAGCTCTATAAACCGAAAAGGAGGAAGTAGACAGACCCATTAAATTACGGAGATGGGCTAGAAATGTCCTCCATTCCGAACGGAAGTTTGGTTCATGCCTGGTCGGTTGGAAATTTGAGAACGAAAATCGCGGTGTGGATGCGGTCCTAGTTGCATCGTGTGCCGATCGATCTTAAGGGCATGTTTGATTTCAATAAGTCACCTGACTTATAAGTCAAGTGACTTAAAACCAGTGACTTATAAGTCACGCCTATTTGGTTGTCACCTGACCATACCTTCCCACCTTGTTTTTTAATGTAAAGGTGGTGGGACCCGCGTAAAAGGGGTGACTTATAAGTTTTAAGTTGGGGTGGAGCAACTTATGACTTATAAGTTGGGATGACTTATAAATTGAGTCTGTTTGGCAAAATAAGTCACTTTTTTATTTTTTGACTTATAAGTTGGTGATTTGTTTGGAACCAAAGCCTAACTGCAAGTGCAACCACCATACGAGCTAGTTCCGGCGAGCTGAGGTCATACACAAAGATGCTTAAATAGCTGTGTTCTACACGCTCTCCTGCATCTATAATGGTAAGCGAGCAGTGGAGTTAGCTCGGCAGGGTTCCTCCTTGCCTGCCTGCCACTCTGGTCTTGGCTCAGTCTGGAAATCCAAGAACAGAAATAGATGATGCTTCCTGGCGCGGCGCTGAGGTACATGGACGCGCCAACTGCCGCCGTTGCTGATCCAGACGGTGGTACTACTCCTAGATCACATCGTTTTCCAACGAACGCTCCGACGTGTAAGCAAGCGACGCTGCCGTCACCACTCACCCGGTCCATTCCCGTCCATGGTTGCGGCCCTTCGGGTGCAAGATTGCCTCCCCTCCACGCGCGTTTCTTGCGTCTCCTCCGCGCCGATCCGTCCCCGCGCACGCACCGCAGCAAACCAAAAAAGAGCCGCGATTTTTCTCAGAAAAGAATCCCCCTTCCTGTTCTTCGCCGGCCAAAATCACCACTCACCCACCTTCTGTCGTCTCCGAGCTCTCGGAGTGCGTTGTCGCCGTCGCGTCGCTTGTAAGCCTGTTGCTTAACCATCTCGCCTTGCTCCGGCTATGATTGGCGGTTCTTGGAGGCTTTCTTGTTCCTTCCCCTATATTTATTATGCGCCCGGGGTGCGGTGGCAGTCGGGCGTTGACGGCTAAGGAGTGACTGGTGAGTGAATTTTTAGGGGGAAGAGGAATGGCGCGAGGCGTGGCGGCGGCGGTGTCGGCGTTGGGGGTCGTGGCGGTGCTCTTGACCGCCGCCGCGGCGAAGGTCTGCACGAACACGTTCCCGTCGTCGGATTCGGTGGCGACCCACGCGGAGCGCGCCGCGGGGCAGCTGCGGCTGCCTGCCGGGCTCGCCGGCCGTGGCCACGGTCACGGGCACGCCCACGAGCAGCACCTCACCCCGACCGACGAGTCCGCCTGGATGGAGCTCATGCCGCGGAGGCTCCTAGGCGGCGGCGGCGGCGGCACCCCGCCACGCGTGGCGTTCGACTGGCTGATGCTCTACCGCAAGCTCCGGGGCGGCGCTGCCGCCGTGGACGGCCCCGCGGGTCCGTTCCTCTGGGAGGCGTCGCTGCACGACGTGCGGCTCCAGCCGGGGACCCTGTACTGGCAGGCCCAGCAGACCAACCTGGAGTACCTGCTCCTCCTGGACACCGACCGCCTCGTCTGGAGCTTCCGCACGCAGGCCGGCCTGACGGCGACCGGGACGCCCTACGGCGGGTGGGAGGGGCCCAACGTCGAGCTCCGGGGACACTTCGTCGGTGCGCCGCCACAATCTTGCCCTGCTTATTCACACATACCAGTTACTCATCTGAACTGAACTTTTGTTGGCCTGACGCTCGTCTCTGCATTGCAGGGCACTACCTGAGCGCCACGGCCAAGATGTGGGCGAGCACGCACAATGACACCCTCCGTGCCAAGATGTCGTCCGTCGTCGACGTGCTAAACGATTGCCAGAAGAAGATGGGCACAGGGTACCTGTCAGCCTTCCCATCAGAGTTCTTCGACCGCACTGAAGCCCTCACTACTGTTTGGGCTCCTTACTACACAATCCACAAGGTATACAATCTTTTACTCCTCCTTCAACAACATGTGGATTATTATGTTGAGTTGTGATCTGGATTCCGTGATCCGTATCCCGTGTTCTATACTTCTATTTCGTGTGATTCTCTAACAAATTGTCTTGCTGCGTGTGCGATTTTTGGTTTGTAGATTATGCAAGGTCTTCTTGATCAGTATACAGTGGCTGGAAACTCCAAGGCCCTTGAGATGGTTGTGGGGATGGCTAACTACTTCAGTGACCGGGTGAAGAATGTCATTCAGAAATACAGCATCGAGAGGCACTGGGCATCGCTCAATGAGGAGACTGGTGGCATGAATGATGTGCTATACCAGCTCTACACAATAATGGTGCTTCACTGATTATGTGTAGTTTGTCATCTGCTTTGCTGTTTTAAAAGTATGTTTTGAATGGAGTTCAGAGTTGCTTATTTCTCTAACTTGGACAGGATGATCTGAAGCATTTGACACTGGCCCACCTCTTTGACAAACCGTGCTTTCTCGGTCTGCTTGCAGTTCAGGTGTACTCACTTGATTCCCTAGCCCTGGCTCCTATGATAATTCAGCATCATCACGTAATGCATGATAGTAGTTCATTATAATCCAGTGAATGAGACCTCTTGTCTGGTTAACACCTCATACTACTATGTCGTATATTTTATGAGTTTGTGTTCAGTTTAATTTATTCTTTTCTATATACCAAATACAATATAAATTATGTCACTACTACAATTGAATGTGCATTGTAATATGCACAATTATTAAACTCACAGCTTTACAATGCATACCTACAAGAACAGCATTCCTATCGCAGGAGTTCCTTGGGAGTAATTACTTTATGGTGTTTCCTTTTCAGGCTGATAGTATTTCAGGTTTCCATTCCAATACGCATATTCCAGTTGTCATTGGTGCCCAAATGAGATATGAAGTCACCGGTGATGCTCTTTACAAGGTAAAGCAAATCATGCTTTCTGGAGAGTTGAACTACTCACTCATTGATGGAGAAAATTATATGAGGGGATATGAGTGCAAGCATAAAAGTTAGCAGGTCAGATTACCATATTGGCTACTCTTACAAACAGAAAACATTGGCATTAGTATTTCGCTTCTAGTGTAGGCTTTTCAGCAATATTGGTAAACATCCAAAGATATTTGGAAGTTGGTATAGCTTTGTCTGGGGCAAAGAAGACATTTAATGCAAAAACTGTGTTCTCTTGGTATCATTTTTTGGTGCGGAGAAAGGAATGCTAAACTAGGGTGCTCATTTTGTGGGAGTTATGCTGCTTTGTTTACTTCAGTTTTTCTTCTGACCTCCTCATGCCGAAGATTGTGATTGGTATTTTACTGAAGTTGTGTCGCTTCCTTCTTTTCTCATTTTGACTCCATGCAAGTGAAGCTGCATCAAAGCTGACCGTAATCCTAATTCCTGAAACAGCAAATTGCAACATCCTTTATGGACATGATAAATTCTTCTCATAGCTATGCAACTGGTGGGACATCTGCCGGCGAATTCTGGTAACATATATATATATAACTCTGGATGCCTAATATCGATGATGAATGGCCATAGTTACCTTTCGGGTGGAAGCTTATACCCTCAATCTCTTTCCAGGGCCGATCCAAAGTGTTTAGCTGCGACTCTGAGTACTGAAAACGCGGAATCTTGCACTACCTACAATATGCTCAAGGTATACAATTATGAAACCATTTCTCTGAAACATTTATTTTCTCCTCCAGAATTGTGTCAAATGCAAGCGGTATGCAGGTTTCCCGCAACTTATTCAGATGGACAAAGGAAATAGCATATGCGGACTATTATGAAAGGGCACTGATAAATGGTGTGTTAAGCATCCAGAGAGGGACGGATCCCGGAGTGATGATTTACATGCTACCCCAGGCACCTGGACGGTCTAAAGCAGTAAGCTATCATGGTTGGGGAACCAAGTATGATTCGTTCTGGTGCTGTTATGGAACAGGTAATTTTTGAAGCCTGCTGAGTACTGTTTACTACTGTATATGGCATTGCCGCCTTCATATTAAAATCAAGCAACTGCAGCATTTTCCTTGCAATTCTTGCTTTCTGCTCTACGTTGTGAAGGTTGTAGTTCTAAATTAGAAAGTTATTGTGAATGTTCTGCTTTTGCATTTGCAGGTATAGAATCCTTTTCGAAACTTGGCGATTCTATTTACTTTGAGGAGAAAGGAGACACACCAGCACTCAGCATCATTCAGTACATACCAAGCACTTTCAACTGGAAAACAGCTGGGGTTACTGTTACCCAACAACTGGAGCCCCTCAGCTCCTCGGATATGAACTTTCGAGTTTCACTCTCTGTTTCCGGGAAGGTAATTCTTCTTGAGTTTTTTTTTGGCATGAAATTCATATCAGAGCATGCAAAGTTAGCCTCCATATTTTTGCGCAGACAAATGGTCAGTCTGCTACATTGAATGTGAGAATACCAACATGGACATCTGCCAGTGGCGCAAAAGCAACTTTAAATGACAAAGATTTGGGATCAGTAACTCCAGGTATAATCGTTTGAATGTATGGTACCATTTCAGCTATAGCCGTCAATTTTGTGGAAGCAAGTGTTTTATTTGATCTTATTGTGTGGCCAGGCTCTTTACTCTCAGTCACCAAACAGTGGAGCTCAAACGATCACCTATCACTGCAATTCCCAGTTGCCCTAAGGACCGAAGCAATCAAAGGTAAACAATTTTGGAAATTTCAACTGCTGCCGAAATATATGCATTGATATATCTAAGCTTGAAGTAGCACATAGCCAATTTGTTGAGTTCACAATTCAGACACAATAATTTGTGATGCCAGCCATGATTAGATTAAAAAATAAGCAAGTTAATAGTGGACATGATTTTTTGCTGCCTTACTAATCCTAAATACTGTTATTCTAGCTAGAATGTCAACTAAGCTATTAATTCATAACTATGCCTCAGATGACCGGCCGGAGTATGCATCTCTTCAAGCAATTCTATTCGGGCCATTCGTTCTTGCGGGTCTCTCCTCCGGTGATTGGGATGCAAAAACCGGCAGTGCAGTTTCGGACTGGATCACTGCAGTACCTTCATCACACAACTCACAGCTGATGACCTTCACACAAGAATCAAGTGGGAAGACATTCGTCCTGTCAAGCTCAAACGGCTCCCTGACAATGCAAGAACGGCCTGCAGTCGATGGTACAGACACCGCCGTCCACGCGACATTCAGGGTGCATCCTCAGGACGCAGCAAGGCTGCACGGCACCTACGGCGCAGCCCTGAAAGACACCTCTGTGCAGATCGAGCCATTCGACATGCCAGGAACGGTGATCACCAATGACCTCACCTTGTCCGCACAAAAGAGCGCCGGTTCCTTCTTCAACATAGTACCCGGGCTCGACGGGAAGCCAAACTCGGTTTCGCTCGAGCTCGGGACCAAACCAGGGTGCTTCTTGGTGTCTGGGGCAGATTACTCTGCCGGGACAAAGATCCAGGTCAGCTGAGGCAGTACCACCCAATAAGCTTCGTCGCCAGGGGGGTAAAGAGGAACTTCCTCCTGGAGCCGTTGTACAGCCTGAGGGACGAATTCTACACGGTTTACTTCAACCTTGGGGCCTGACGCCGCAAGATCACTTGCGCCTTGGCACAAACAAACCCAGAATAATACACGCCCCTTTTTTTCTCATGTATACTGTAGTTTACAACAGGCAATAGAAGAGGAAATGAGTTTGTTTCTTCTGGAATACTATGAAATTACAGCTAAATGCGATAGTATGGTTTCTTTGCTGAGTAAAGTTACTTCTGGTTGTGTTAATTTTATTGTTTTCAGATGAACAAACCATGATGTGCATATATATGTTGAAAATGCTTCTAAAAGGTTAACTGCATCCTTCAGCATATATGCTGCTGTTTATCCTGGTAATGGATAAGTAGTCAGGGCAAGTAACAGCACCTAATCTTCCGAATTAAAATACATCTCCAGCTACTGGGAGGAGGGCAAAGCCTGGGATCATGTCCACTCTCATAAACAAATGAGGGAGGAATCAGTGCCTGCATTTGTTTAACACATCGCTGCTCAACACCCGGCAAAAGAGTTGATCAATGTGCACATCATATGTCTAGAGGGGCCTGACCACAAATTAAGCAAAAGAAAATCCTATCTCCTGGAAAGGATAGTTTGGCACAACCAATTGGCTTCTTTCCAAGAGACAATCATGCCAAAACAGCTCATACAGATTTCAACCCATGTGTTGTAATTGTTCCCCTTGGATCAGAATGCGCAAGCTAAATGAATACAGCAACAAGGCAGAGCCAGTCCGCATTCCCAATCATACGCTGAATCCTGATTTAAACTTCAGCTTTTCTAAGGCATAGTTTTTAACTGGTGATAAACCACAAGGCCTCCATTCTTTTCATCCTGGATTGCTTCATCATAATCCACATATCATCAGATTAGAGCAATGACATATAAGAAGAACTGTAACCATGTTTGCCATTGCTCTCGCATGTTCTAGAACTAAAACTTGAGAACCAGAACCATGTTTCTCATTGCTCTTCGATTTGGATGTATATTTGAGAGTGGAGAACTAGCCAAGTACAATTTTCCAAACTAACAACAATGAGAACACCAACTATACAACCATAAACATAATTGAATTGAACATACTCAAACATGGAAAATGAAGCCACACGCAATATGATGAACCATTGCTGGCTACTATTACTGATCAGAATTTAACACACATGGGACAATAGTACATAACAGAGCTAGCTAAAATGAGAAGCCACAATACTGACCGAAAAAACCACCATGAATAAAGTTACACAACACGCAAACCATTCGGAATGACTGAGGATTGAGTTCTTGCAGCTGCCACGACGCAGTGTGCATCACGACGCCGTACAATTTAGGAAATGCGGCAGCCAACAAGAAAGGGAGGTGCAAGGATGGCACAGCAAAGACGGATGATGAACCTTGGCAGATTGCAACCATTTCTTCCCTGTGGGACACCTAAATCTTGTCGAGCTTCTCTGCCTTCACCACTGGGTTGGCCTTGGCGATGGCATCCCTAGCTGCAGTCCGGTAGTCGAACTGGCAGTCATGCTTGTCGGAATAGCGATGCAGCGAACAGTACATGTTACCGCAGCGGCAGTTGAATCCCGTCAGCCCAACCCTCTTCCTGCAAGTTGAGCACCGATTCGGCCCCTCCTTCCTCTTGGGGCTCACGGCAACAGCTTCGCTGGTGCCTGCAACATCAGCAGCAGGCTGCACAACGAGCGCCTTCACGTCAACTTGAGCAACCACCACCTCTGCGCTCGCGGCTACAGCCGCAACAACAGGTGCTTTCCCACCGTCGCCACCGTTGACGATGCTATCGAAGGAGGAGGCAGCCAGCTTGGCCTGTTCCTGCTTCATGACCATCTCCTTGTGGCACTTGGAGCACATGTTCATGGTCGCCGCACTGCCAAAGAAGCCACAGTTATTAACGCATAGGATTGGGCCCTCCGGCTGCTGGCAACCCGCCTCCTTGTGTTCCATCTTGAATAACCGTGAGCTGCACACAGAACAGACAACGGTAAACATCAGCATCGAAAGAGGAAGAATCAATTGCAATCTTCCAAGAGCAAGCGACCAAATCGAGCCACGCAACAAGAATCCGAATCGTACTATAATACGAATTGTAACTTCCAGGCACAAACAATCGTAGTTGCGGGGAGGAGCGCACCGCTTTCGGAAACAAGATCCTGATTTCTAGGAAATCAACATGTCAAAAGCGACTTCTCCCCAACCACCGCTACCAAGAGCCACTTATTACTTCCATTTCGCCGACGGTCCAGACGAGGAACAGGGCACCGAATTCAAATCTCGAAAACCGAAAATTTCTCCCGAGAGATGGTAAATCGAACACAACGTGCGCCAGCCGCACCGCGTGATTCATCTAATCCGGACGGCTTTAATTTGAAAAAAAAGGTAAATCTAATCATTTCCACCCAGAAGGAACAGAAAAGGAGAAAACAACACGCAAAGACTTCTACCCAAAACGGACCAACCACCGAACGGCGCCGCGAGCATCACAGAACACGGCCCCCTTCCGTCGATCGCCGCACAGGGCGGAAGAGCCACACAGAACTCCTTCGTCGAGAACAAAACCCACGCGGATCGACAGAGGAGACGCCGAATCGAGCGCCGAACGGAACAGATCAAACCGGGGAGGGGGGAGGAGGGGGCGAGCGAACCCTAACCCTGTGGCGAGGCGGCGGCGGCGGCGGGGCCGGAGGAGGAGGGCGAGGAGGCGTGCGGGGATTGGGAATCGCGAGGAGCTCGGCTCGATTGGGGGCGTCACCAGGGACGAGGACCGGGAGGTGGGGGAGGGGGAGATAAAGGGGGGTGGGCGGAGCCACCGGTGGGGAAGTACCGGTTTGCCCCTCCCGGCCGCTGGGACTCCGTCCGCCCGGGCCGTCGGATCTGCGCGGGGTTGGCAGGTGGACGGCTGGGATTGGGTTTGGCGCGGTTTCGCGGATGGGTCCTCGGGAGATGGCCGGCTTCTAAAGTGGGGCTTTTCTTTCTTGCTGGGGAAGAAGAAGGATCGCGTCGCTTTCTCATCTTTATGGTGTGAATGGATGAATGGATACTCCCCTCTTTCTCTCGCCGATGGCGGTGCTGTCGTTCGTTGCCTTTCCTTTTTGAATTCAAGAATCCATTTTGTTGCTTACTATATATACTTGATACGTGATTGATAGTGTACATGTGAGAGGAATGAAGGTCATGTTGTGAGTAGAGCAACTACCAGCTGAATTTGATTCTAACAGGAAGGTATTAATCTGCTCCTGGTATTTTGATAATAGAAACCGGCGCGTTTTGTTCCTACACGGAATCGCCTCGTGTGTCGGTTAATACTAGTCTTTTTTTAATGAAAACCATGTGTTTTATTGCTACACGAAATCGCCTCGTGTGTCTGTTACTAGTGGCCAGGGCCGGCCCTAGCATCTTAGAGGCCCTTGTGCGAGTTTCATATAATGGGCCCTCATAATATACTCAATTTTTTTTCCAGTGAAGGACTTAGCACCTTTTCCAAATTCAACTAATTGATTTACAACTTAGATCCTTTATTTTTCTCACAACCGATGATAATTGCTTTTTTGGATCTTTATGACAAACAAAAAAGGAGAGAGCACCTGAATTCCAAAATCTTGGTTTTGGAGTAAATTAGAAGAAATTCTATGCTCCATCCATCCAATAATCAAAATTCATGCAAGGACACAACCTGCATAATTTACATGACTGCAATTTGAACAAAAATAGAGCAATCAAGTAGGTTAAACATCAGCAATGGCTTATCATGAATTTTGATTATTACGTCAACTCATCATAACAGAAATAAACAGGCAAATATCAAAGAATTGAGATCTAAAAATTTACCTGGAGGAGCAATGGCTTGATTGCTTCGCTTGAACAGTGCCTGGACTTCACGTCTGCATCGCCTGCCCTCAGACACTGACCACGGCTCTGTCGATGGACGGCCATGGTGTAGGTTGCTACTCTCGCGTTCTTCCCAGGGGCCCAGGACAAGGATGTGTCACCGGCTGGCCAACGTCCGTCGGGGTCCTTTGGGGCAGCGAGGAACCAAAGAAATTATGATTTTGGGGCAGTTTACAGGATGCGAGGAACCAAAGAAATTCATTGATTAACTTTGGGAATTGGGGCGCCTCTTAGGAATTTGGGGGCAATTAATTGGGAAAGAAGACGGAGAACGGAAACGAACGAGGGCGTGATTCAAGGAGCCAGCGAAGGAATCAGTTCGTGCGTGATTTTTTTCCTTGGTAATGGGCCAAACCTGTTTCTCTTGTGTAGTAGTCTATTTTTCTAGAGATATATGGGCCCCTGCTGAGGCTGGGCCCTAGGCCGTCGCACTCCTCGCCATGGCCCAGGGCCGGCCCTGCTAGTGGCATTCAGCTGGACCCTTGCTGGCATCCGGTGACGGAGCCGTTCTCTCTTGTGTCATCTTTTGTTTTCGTTAAGTCGAATCCACATGTTTTGAGCTGACAACGGACTATAATTACCTTTATGTCTTCTTATCTTCGACGAACCGATTTTGTCATCATATGCCACGTCTAAACTAAATGTGATCAAACTTTGTGCCATGTCTCGAACAACGTTAAGAATCTAACCTTATTGTTAGTATGCGAAAATTTTGACATGTACACACCCCTTAATGCATGAAAAACCATTATTCGTTTGTATATCCGCGTACCAAATTTTCTGGTATTGTCATGTTCCATTGGACTGTTTTATCTCTTTTGCATAATTATCAACATTTTCTGTTTCACATGATAGTATTATAATTACCGAAAAAGGATTTCGCCCCGCTATATATATATATATATATATATATATATATATATATATATATATATATATATATATATATATATATATATATA